GTCACCTTTAATAGTCTTTAATCTTTGTACATTTTCACCTTTCCTTTCTTCCCACTTTCCTGCCTGATAATTTAAAGTACTTGTCACATCTTAGAACCATAGAATGAGCCCATTCAACCCATTGATTCTGTGTCAGCTCTTTCCAATAGCACTTCAGTTAGTCCCATTCCCCACTCTTTCCTCATACTCCGGCATTTTGCTTCTTCAAGCATTTATCCAGTTTTGTTTTGAAGGCGACAATTGAATCTATTTCTATCACTGTTAGGAAGGAGCTGGGGCATATTGTTTGTGCAGTTGGTAGCTTACGTTTCAAAGACTGCAATCTGATGATAAATACTAAAGAGCAAGTGTAATATTAAAGGAATAAATTTCATTGTCCTTATAGGTCCCATATTATATGTTTTACTCAATGTTGCCTCTTCTCCTATTATGGCCTTACATTTACTGCTTTTCTGGTCTAAATTAGTTTAGTTATCAAGGGCAACACTGGAATTTTTTTTTTATTTCAACACCAGAATGTAAGTGGAAGTTTAGAATTAGATTCACCAGGTCATTCATTCATCCTATCAACTGAGCAGTTGAAGACCAGCTGTGACAGACACCAAAGAGTAGTCTGTTCCTTCTGTAGAGAATACAATTTGTACTTTCATCCTTTCCTTACCAGATTGCATTTGACTTAATTATTTGTTTAACTTTTGTAGTTACTATATCACGGGAACATTGCTTTCCTCCACCACAGCCATTATGAAACTTCTTTCCCCTCACTACAAATCCCACCAATCCTAATTAGTTTTCTTCTGTCATTTAGAGCCAGATCCTAAATGGTAGCAATATGGTTTTGTTACCAGACTAGCAATCCAGAGACCTGGACTAATTATTCCGAAACATGAATTAAAATCCCAGTGAAACAGGTGGGGAGTTTAAATTTGGTTAATTAAATGAATTTGGAATTAAAATGCTTGTGGCAGTAGTATCACTTTAGTAGCAGTAATGGTGATCATGAAACTGTTGGATTATTGTAAAAGCCCATCTGATTTGCAAATTCTTTTTGGGAAGGGAATATGATCTGGTCCATATGTAGCACCCACAACTGCTATTTGATGTAGCCTGGAAGACACTGAGTTATATACCACAACAAAGAATTATAAGGATAGACCACCCAGCATTGACCTGGATACTGAACACAACAAAGGCACACCCAGTACAGTCAGCCCTTCAAAATCCTCCTCACTAATACCAAAGCTTTTGTCCCTCATGAGGGAAAGCTATTCAATATTATTTAAGCAACAGCTTGGTATAGTCGCACTCACAATCATGCCTTACAGGCAATGTTTCTGACTTCTCCATCATCATCTCTGGTTGTGTCCTGTCACACCAGCCAGGACGTATCCATCAGATGTTGTGGTACTGTGGTATACAGTCTGGAGTGAATGGCTGTGGGAGTCATTAAGATTGATTACTCACAGCATCAGGTCATACAGGGTCAAGAAAACTCTTGCTTATTATGACCTACTACAGTCCTCAATTTAGTGAATCAGTACTCCTCACACGTTGAGCATTACTTTATAGAGAAACTGAAGGGAGTAAAGGAATATATTCTGGGTGGGTGCTCACAGTGACTTGGGTACACCACAGTTGACTGAGCTGACTGAATTCTGCAGGGCATGTCTGCCAACCTGGCCTTTTGGCAGATGGTGAGAAACATGAAGACATTTATCAGACTTTGTGAGACATCAGCAGCAGAATTATATGGCACCAGAACCTATAACTTAATGGCCTGGCATATCGCTCCCTTTCTAACATTTATCATCGACAAGGGGAACAGTTGTAGTCAAATGAGAAGTGTAGAAGAATATGCCAACAGCATGCAAGATATACCTAAAAATAATGAGATGTTGGTAGACTACATGGATGCTATGCAGTGGAAGCAATATAAGTTAGACAGAGCTAAGTGATCCCATAGCCAGTTGATACAATAAAGCTTTGCAGCTTAGCCACATTGAGTCATGACTGTGGTTGACAATTAAACAACTGACCAAAAGGGGAGACTCACATTATCCATCCGCAGTGATGTGGGTGCCCAGTATGTCAGTGCAAAAGACAGTGATGAAACACATGATGAGTGGTAGGACCCTGGGAAACGCTGAGGAACAAAGGGAGCTTGGTGTGCGCGTCCCTTAAGGTAGATAGAGAGGTTTAAAGAGGCATTTGGATCCTTGCTTTTATTAGCCGAGGCATAGAGTTCAAGAGAGGGAGATTATACTGGAACTATTTAAAACATTGGTTAGGCCGCAGCTAGAGTATTGTTTGCAGTTCAGGAATCCACATGATAGGAGGGATGTGATTGAAATGGAGAGGATGCAGAGGAGATTTACCAGAATGTTACCTGGGCTGGAGAGTTTTAGTTATGAAGAGAAATTAGACAGGGTTGTTTTCCTTGGTGTAGAGGAGACTGATGGAGACATGATTGCGATGTATAAGATTATGAGGGTCAGAGACAGGGTAGACAGAATGAAACCTTTCCCCTTGGTAGAGGGATCGGTGAGCAGGGAGCATATATTTAATGTAAGGGGCAGGAGGTTTCGAGAGGATGTGAGGGAAACAAAATTACCCACGGACTGGTGGGAATCTAGGACCTAGTGCCTATAAGGGTGGTAGAGGCGGAAAGCGTCATAGCATTTAAGAATTATTTAGATGTGCACTTGCAATGCCAAGACATACAAGGCTATGGGCCAAAAGCTGAAAAATGGGATTAGAAGAGTTAAGTGTTTGTTTTTGACCCATGCAGACTCAATTGGCTGAAGGGCCTTTTTCTATGCTGTAGATCTTTATGACTTTATTTGCAACCATCTTCAGTTGGAAATGCCATGTGGATGATCTATCTGTGTCTTCTCTTGAGTCCTTCACCATTAGATGCCAGTCTTCAGCTAATTTAGTTCATTTCACTCTTTATTAATAAACTGTTGAGCACACTAAATGCAGAAACTTTATGGATATCCCAGTGTAGTATTGAAGATCTGTGCTCCTGAGCTAGCCAGGCCCCAATGCAAGCTGTTCCAGTGCATCTACACTACTATCTACCAGTGGTGTGGAAAATTGCCCAGCTATGTCTAATCGAAAAAAAGCAGAACAAAAATGATGCAGCCAATCCTGCTCTATTTGATACGTCGAAACGTCGGTGAAATATTGAAAGCAAGGTTGGCAGTACTATCAATTGACATTTACTCACCAGTAATTGGCTCATCGAATCTCACTTTGTGTTGTACCAGGATTAGTTAACTTCATACCTCATTATAACCTGAATTCAAATGTGAATAAATGAGCTGAATTCCAGAGGTGAGATAAAAGTGTCTTCCCTTGATATCATTGCAGTATTTCAAGCAGTGTGGCAACAGGAAGATTGAAGACAGTGGAAACTGGAGAGAAAACTCACCACTGGCTAGAGTCTCACTTAGTACAAAGAATAATGGTTGTGGTTATTGAAGGCTTATGACCCAAGTCTCAGGACATCTTTGCAGGAGGTCCACTGGGTAGTGTCCTAGATTCAACCATCTTCAGCTATGTCATCAATAGCAACTGACAGGAATCTTTGAGTAAGTGGTTGAAGAAGCTGACACACCACCACCTTCTCAAGGGCAGATAAGATGGATAATAAATGTTGGCCTTGCCTGCAGTGACTATCTTGAATATTAAAAATAAGCACTTTTATGAAATGATAGGACTTTTAGCAATTAAGTAGCACAGTTGGTTCTGAAAAAATATCCAGCCAAATTTTGAAGAAATGAATGAAGGATAAACAGAAATTACTGAAGAAACGTAGTGAGTCTGGCAGCATATGTGGAAAGAAAGCAGTCTTAATGTTTCGAGCCCACTGACCCTTCTTCAGAAATGATAATAGCTAGTAAACGGTAGTTTATGTATTGAAGATGGGGTGTGGTTGTGGGGGGAGAGGAGTAAGCGGATAGATGGAGTCAGAGCACAGAGAGTAAAAAAAGGTTAGACAGACAAAGGGATGGCACGTAATAAACAAGGGAAGAAAAGCTGACAATGGAGACAATGAGTAGGTGAAAATGGTAGGCTGTGCTGAAAGCAGCCACTGTCCTGACAGGGCCTGAGAGTTGGAGTTGGGTAAAGAATTTGGAAGGAGGTATTCAGGCTGTACAGTTATTGAATTTGATATTGAGTCTTGAAGGCAGTAAGTCCCAACTAGAAGGTGAAATGCTGTTCTTCCAGCTTGTGCTGAGCCTCGCTGGAACACTGCAACAGGCTTGAGGCAGAAATGTTGGCCAGAAAATGCTGGAGAAACCAGGCAGGTCGACAGCATTTATGAAGAGAGAAACAGGTTCAATGTTTCGAGCCCTATGTGTCTTTTTTTGTTAGAACTCAGTATAGTGTTTCAAAATAAGACTGGAAAATTTATCAAAAGATAAATTGAATCATAGAACCCCTACAGTGTAGAAACAGGCCATTCAGCCCAACAAGTCCACACTGCCCCTCCGAAGAGCATCTCATCCAGACTCATTCCCCTGCCTCTGCATTTCTCATGTCTAACCCACCTAACCTAAACATCCCTGGGCACTATGGACAACTTAGTATAGCCAATCCACCTAGCCTGCACATCTTTGGACTGTGGGAGGAAACCCGAGCACCCGGAGGAAACCCACACAGACACTGGGAGAATGTGCAAACTCCACACACTCACCCAAGGCTGGAATCAAATCCAGGTTGCTGGCGCTGTGAGGTAGCAGCGCTAACCACTGAGCCACCATGCCGCCCCAAATGCTTGGATCCTCCCCAGCGGGGAATTGAACCCCGGTCTCCCGCGTGACAGGCATGGATACTAACCACTATACTAACAAGGAAACAGCATGGATGTTCTGTAGCCATGTTAAGGGAAAAGAATTTATTCATTGTTGCTTAAATCAAATAGTCGTGTGATTATAAAATAACGGATACTTCTTATAAAACTTTCCTTTTATTAGCATGGTGTTGTTTTATAGGCTAAAGACCTTCAGAAAGGAGGAAGTGCATTTTCATTAGTTGGAAGTTCCGGGAAAGTTTTAGGAATGGTAGGTCTGTTGTGTATGTTGTATGTGCAGTGCAAATGGTTCCAAATGTCTTTTTCGTGCACTGTATTTCAATAAAATTGACCCAAAATATAACCACTCTAAGAATGAATTTACAGTTGAAGCATTTATTGCAGGTAGCTTAAAAACTTGCAAGCAATCATCTAGATAATGTGTTAGGAAATGCATTTTGATGAACAGAAGCATTCATATATAAATACATAAAAATACTCAAAACACTCAGCAGGTCAGTCAACATCCACAGTGAGAACAAGCAATTAACATTTCAGATGTAGACACTTTATCGGAACCATATGTTACAACAGTGATTAAAAACAGAAATTGCTGGTGAACCTTAGCAGGTCTGGCAGTATCTGAAGAAGGAGCACTGGACTCCAAACGTTAACTCTGCTTTTTCTCCACAGATGCTGATGGAACTGCAGAGTTTTTCCAGTAATTTCAGTTTTTGTTTCAGATTTCGAGCATCTGTAGTTCTTTTGTTTTCTGTTGCAATAGTGAAATAATTTCTAAAGCACTTGCTTAACTGTAAACTACTTTGGGTCATTCTGAGGTTGTGAAAGGTGTAGTATCAATTCTTTCTTAACAGATAACATAACACCTTTCCAACATTCCTGAATTAACAATCACCAATAAAATTGCAATAATACGCAAGTGATCACAAAGCTATAAATGCAAATGTTCAGAAAGCCATATCAATCATTAATCTCGTTAATGGGCTTACTCTAATTTTATATCTTTGTTTACTTATGCTAGGCTCTTAAAAGCTGTGAGAAAAGCACTAAACCCATTTATGTATCCGTGGGTCACAGGATTAGTCTGGACACTGCCTTACGTCTGACTCATTCCTGTTGCAAATACAGGGTACCAGAACCCATTAGGCAGGTACGAATTAATGTTTTATATTTGGTTTGTGTATTAAGAAATAATAATGTAATTAGAAAAATTACTATCTTTTAAATCAAAACAGTAACTTTACACTATCATTGATATAGTAAATTTTGCAAAAAGAAAAAATTGCAGCTATATATCTAATTGTCAAGTTGAAACATTTCAAAGCATATTACGTAATAAATTATTTATAAAGTATAGTGATTTGTTACATTAGCCATAAAATGGCAAAGAAGTGAATGATCTATTCAGTTGTTTATATTGTATTGGTCAAAGCAATGGAAGAGCCGCACAAAACAGGCTTAGGTTTATCTTTTCATTCAAAGAATGTCACCTTTGATAATAAAACACTCCTTCAATATTACACTGGAGTGTCACCGTATTTCACTTTTTTTTTAAACATATTATGAGGTCAAACCCTGATTTGAGGTTTGAAACCAGATCATTTTACCCCTAAAATGAGAGTGCTACTAACTGAACCAACACAGTGGACCAAAGAGCCTTTTCAGTTGACTCTAGCATGTCAATCATATGTATCTGACTGAGCACAGTAATATTGGTGAGGAGCGAAATGAGTCTTTTCACATTCAACATTATATGATTAATGCTTCATTTTCTCTACAACATCATTTTGCTGCTTAGATTTGTACACTGGGTTTTAGGTAATGGGTTTTTATATTTAATGTAGAATGGTTTCCATCTGAGAAGTAAAATATTGACTTTCAAAATTTTGATTTTCATAATAACATACTAAATTTGTTAACTTACTCCACACTTCATTACAAATTCATAATTTAATGTCAGACAGTTGTGTCCCTGAAATTAAGCACCATACATTAGTATAGAAATTCTTAAGTGGGTATGTTTGACATGATTTTCTGTATCACTTTATCAGATGCAATAAGCTATTTATTTTAAATAAGCTAATGACTCTTTAATAATAGAGATGAATTTCATGTATACTTTAAAAGTTTGTACACTAATGTCTCTATGAGAGGTTTTGTATATAAAACAGCCATAAGAAAATAAAAATAATTGCATTCACCATCTCACAAACCCAGAAACTCCCTTTCTCTTTAGGCTAAACATCACCGAGTGTGGTGACACAGTCATACTTACTTAATTTCTACACAGCGCACAGTTTCTATTGGCAACATTGCTGTACCAAATAAAATGAATGTAAACAGTTTGTGAGGGGGCTACAAGTATGATTGAATAACACATGCAATATGTATTATAGAAAGTACTGCAGAAAGAGCTAAAGTTAGCAACTCAACTGCGCTATTCAAATGTTCAGAGTTAACTTCTGCTTCTCTTAATTGATTGACATATGAGTAGAATGGCAGTCCTGTTCCTTACACATTACAATGCTTAGATATTCTCTGATATGATAACATGTCACTGTTTGTTATATTATTTCACTAGCAATCTACTTTGAGCACTACCGTAGCATTTGTCAGTATACTAATATTTTAAAATTTCATATAGTTTGCATGCATTATTTATTATGAATATATGTCTCTTATTGATTCAGAACATAAATTTACAAAAAATAGATTCTGAAAATGTTACTTATTTTTCATTCTGTTTTATGTGAATTAGTAAATGTAATGCAAATAAATACCAATTTTAACAGTCATATGAAATGCTGTAACAGAACACTTTATGAAAATTTTATTTAGCCCACCATCTTTTTTACTCAAAAATCAGAATATTTGCAACTATCGTACTTTCAAAACATGCAACAGGAAATTCACTGAAAAGCAAGCACCACAAACATTGGAAAGGTAGTAAGTGCAGAATTTTATAGGAATCAGGGTGATTTCAACCACTCTACAAGCAGAGATAATAAAGGGGAGAGTAGTCTGGAAATTTTACAGTATGCACCAATGTTCCTTCTAAGCAGTGTGGCTGCTCGGAGCCTGGGAGGCACACGCAGCTAGAAAGAAGATTAGAGGGAACCTTGGTGTGTACAAGGCTCCATTCTGATCTAACATATAATAAAGGAGGGAATATTGCTAGACCAATTAATAGGAAATGGGACATAGCTTTTAAGAGAGTAAGGACTGGATTTTTGCACAGACTCCAGAGAAGTTAAAATTTGTTAGGTGGGAGCCAGCAGGGGAATGGGTCAAAGAGTGAGGGCCATTTGAAGTTAGTGCCTTAGCCCCTAGTGTGGGAATCAGAAACTTATGGAGTATAATTAAACACTTTTGAATTGCGGAAAAGTTCAGTTAAAATCTCAGGATCTAAAGTTTTATTTAAATCTCTGTTTATTTAAACATGAAAAGATAGGTTGTTGTTAGTTTTAAAAGAAGACCTCTGCTCAGTTAATTTATTTGAGAGACTACCCAGTATGGATTAGAAAAACAGAACATTACTATCTATTCCTGCATTTTCATTATCGTTCTTTGTTGATGTTCCAACTGCACTGTCATTATGCGCTGAGGTCTTTATGAATGCTTGACTGTGTTTCAAAAGCTACAGAAGCACCAACTCTGACAATGTGCTGACTTCACATTTTAATTGACAATTTAAAAGGTGTATTAAAGGACTAGCTGTTCTGATTTGGTTACTGAATAGAACTTTTTAAAAAGTATACAACAGGTTGAACACTTGAAGGGATTTCAGGTATGAACATCTTTCAGTATCAAGGCTGCATGAATGAGAATTCTTGTTAGAAGCCTAGTTTTGTTTCAACTCCACATAGTTCCTAAAATCCATGCATGGTTGATATAGTATGAGTGGCAATGAAGGAGCCATGGGAGCATACGGGTCCATGGAGTGGAATGGGTGAGTTGTGAGGTGTGACAACTGAAGAGCCTAACATCTTCTAAAACAACTGGAACCAAGTCCCAGAGAAACACAGTGGGCCTTCTAAGTAATTAATCTATGTAAACGATTTGGAAGAAAAATACATGGTTACTAAATTTGCTGATGATACAAAGATAGGTAGGGAAGTTATTTCTGATGAGGGCATAAAGTGTATGTAAAGGATTTAGATAGGTTAAGTGAGTAGTCAAAAAATTTGTTTCTCGAGTATATTGTGGGAAAATGAGAATTCGTCCATTTTGGTGGGAAGGATAAAAAAGCAGTGTATTCTTTAAATAGAGAAAGATTTGAAAAATTCTGTGGTACAGAGGAAGCTAGGTATCATGGGACAAGAATCTCAAAAAGTTAGTCTGCAGATGCAGCAATTAATTTGGGAGCCAAAAGTACTGTCGGTGTTTATTGCTAGGGAAATGGAATATAACAGCATGAAAATTTTACGAGAGCTGTATCTTGTGTTGGTGAGACCTCATCTGGAATACTGCTTGCAGTTTTGGTCTCCTTACTTGAGATAGGTTATAATAGCTTTAGAAGCAGCTCAGTGAAGATTGACACAACTCATCACTGGGATGAAGGGCTTATCTTATTCAAAAAGACATTTTGGGACAGTTTGACTGAAAGGTGACCTCAGTGAAACTTGTAAGAGCTTGAGGGGTCTTGACATGTTGGATGTAAGGAGGATTTTTCTCTTTATGGAGGGACTACACCTAGAGAGCACTGTTTAAAAGCAAAAGACCTCCTTTTTAGGATGGTGATGACAAGAGTTTTTCTCTTAATGGTTCATTGATTCTGTGGAATTTTCTGCTCCAGGGAACAGTGGAGACAGTGTTTGAATATTTTTAAAGTCTGAATTAGTTAGATTCTTGATTCACAAAGGAATCTAAGGGTATAGGAAATTGAGGCCACAATCAGAGCAGCCATGATATTATGAATTGGAAAAGCAGGCTTGAAGGGCTGAATGATCCACTCCTGTATCCAATTTGTACATTCTTGTTAACATCTGAATTTAACAGATCAATTTCAGGTCAGGAGGTCGCAACTCATAGAGTACCACAATGATTATTACTTGGATTTCAGCTAACTATAGTCTACATCAATGTCTTGGATGAGGGGACCAATTAAGGTGGGAGGCGAAATATTTAAAAGAGTCCTGAGCATCAACATTTTTACACACAGGGGTTTGTACATGGAATGAACTGCCAAAGGAAGTGGTCAATGCAGGTACAGTTACAACATTTAAAAGGCATTTGGATAGGAACATGAATAGGAAAGGTTTAGAGGGATATGGGCCAAACACAGGCAAGTGGGACTAGTTTAGCTTGGGAAACTCAGTCGGCATGGACAAGTTGAACCGAAGGGTCTGTTTCTGCGCTGTATGACTGTATAAAAATTAGCTCAGCAAATAAACTATCAGGAGGCCAGAACAGGGCTGTAAAGTGATACCTACAAGTTGAGTGATTGGGAATATATATATGGCAGGTGGAATACAATGCAGAGAAATGTAAAGTTATCCACAAAGAAGAATAGAATTTTTGAAAGAGAGAGATAGTGGGAAATGTTTTAACCGAGGCACCTTGACATTTTTGTACACAAGTTGCAGAAAGTTAGCACTCAAGGAGTTAGGAACGAAAATGCTACATTTAACTTTATTGCAAGGATATTGGCATATAAGAATAAAAAAAACCTTGTTGCACTCCCTCGTGTGACCATGCCTGAAATACTCTTGTGCAGATTTCATCTCCTGAGGAGGATATACTCGCTTTAGACAGCGTACAATGAAAGTTCACTAAACTGATTTGGATGATGAAATTCAACGATGAGAAGTGATTGAATATATAATGCCTAAGGTTGATTGAATAAATAATGACTTGATTCCCTAGAGTTTAGAAGAATGAAAGGTGATCTCATTGAAACATATATAATCCCCTTGAGAGGATTAACAGCACAGATACTAGGAGGATGTTCTTACCAGTTTGGGACTCTGGAACTAGAGAGTGCAGTCTTATATTAAGGAAAGGAAAAGCTATTTGTGAGATGAGGATGGTTTTTTGTTCATTTGGGGATTGGTGAACTTCTGGAATTCTTTAACTCGGATCACATAGATGCTTTGTATTGAGCATATTCAATCCAGAGATTGCTATACTTCTAGATACTAAGAGTGTCAA